TTTCGGCGAATGACACTTTGAGAACGATGAAAATCCGAAGCTCATTCATAAGAGCACGATTTTTTCATGTTCTCAAAAGTTAGAATAAAATTTGAATGAAATTTAGAATAAATGTTGGATAAAATAACAATTTCAAAAGAGTAAAATCTCAAAAGTTAGAATAAATTCAAATTCATCAGAATGAACAACTTCTCAGAAACAATTTTTCAATGTTAAGGTGCCCGAGGTCAACTACTCAGCTGCCATATGAAAAGCAAAACGAAAAACATGAAAACCAAAGCCACTGATCACTCCCATTTCAATCCGCATTGAAATTTGGGCCGTTGCTGATAAACTGATTATGCGATTTTGGATGGGATCGAATGCAATTCCAAATTTCAAGACTTCAATAAGATAGAAATTCATCATGCGAAATGTTTTGTCCAGCTGTTAATGAGTGAACAATTGGGTTCGAATGATGAGAGGATCTGAACGTGAACGTTGTAAATAGACTGAGATTTAAAATAATGAGGTATTAGTTCTTCGGGATAAATATCTATTGCATTTCTCAATTACCAAGTCTTCTTTGCAATAGTTAAATAGCAGACTTATGTGGAGCATGCATCCGTATGTTCTCGTCGAAATATCACATTTAATTGCTTTGAGAATTTTATTGTTTTCAAATTTTCAGTTGGAATAGACGAATTGAAGATGAAATAATGAATGCCTAACATATGCTGATTTGAGTAATTCATGCAGGCATTGAACAACTTAGTAATATTGCAGGCAGTGTANAAATGTTTGCAGACACTTGTTATCAGTTGCAAACATCATGTTATCTTATCCTGGCCACGCAGCAGAAAATGATACTTTCATTCAGTATCCTTTCTCAGGATGTATATTTTCAAGCAATCTTCCAGGAAGCTCTGGATGAGAGTAAGAACTAGGATTGCATGATTGAAAAAAATTATTCAGTAAGAAAATCCGTTGGGATTGGAAATGAATCGCTGAAAACAGAAAACAGTAGAAACGGGAAGCACTGCGCTCAAATTCAATCAGAAAACAATTAGTTAAAACCTAAATTAGAATGAGCATTAAGACGAAAGAACACCGATGCGTAATACTTCAGATGGATTTGCGCACAGTAAATTGAGAACAGAAACTGAAGCAACATGATCGATAGAGATAAAAATAAGAACTTGTGGTAGTGAGCAGAAAAATGAGAGTTTCATAAACTAATTTATCCAGTTATCTCAGTTATCCGAATTATAGTTCATAAATTATGAAATATAATTCGGATAACTGAGACTGATGGATGAATAGCCTCAACAAACTGAGTCGCTTCATTAGCGGCACAAGATATCATTATTTAGTGTCGATTACGAAATGAGTGATGAAACAACCGTATGCTGTTATTATGGTTTCATAATGTTGACATTCAAACCATTAACAGGCTGAAGGGATCATTGGGGAGAGCGAGCACCTACAGTGGTTTGCATTGATTTGGTTCAGATTGCCCTAAACATTCACAAATCAGAGCATGATTTCAACAAAACCTATTCGCAATTATTCCAACTGTTTTATCAGTCTTTAATGAATATNGAATCAACGTTCAAAATCAATGATTAGAAAGTGAATATATCCTGATGGTCATCCACATCTGAATATATGATCGCCATCACTGATCCGATATCTATGACTTTATCGATCATTTTCATCTTTCACATTTATCCACAATTTGCACCAATATTATATGCCTCAAGTCAGTTGAAGTAGGCTTTCCGTAGGAGATATTCCTTCATTTCCATCTTTTATAAATGAGCCAGCCCAGTCCATTGAAATAATTATAATAGTGTCACTTTCCTCACAAACTAATTTTACCTTCCTGGATTGTGTCTCAATCAAGCATCCATGTCATCAATCAAGCATCCATGTAAAGATTTATTATGTCAATTGAAATCCCAACGTACTGCCCGGTTATGTTGTGTGCGCTAATTGATTATCTGTTCCTGAACTGCTATCCAATGACTCTCCACTAAAGGCAATATGAGTAAAGAATGGCAAAATAGGCGAAGGAGTCCTCAAAAAAGAGAAGAAAATTCAGTGGCATAGTCTTTAAAAAGAATGAATGCTTGCAGGAATGAACTGTTTGCTGAATGAATTATTTGCCCGATTCATGTTTGAGCCATGTACACTCTCATTTGATTGGATACATTTTTAGAACATAATTTACCATCCATCCTCCAGCTGTTCGAAACTCCTCTTAAATTTTCAGCACTCCTCTTAACCATGATCGTATTTTTAACTGAGTTGGCCTTAGCATGCTTTATTTATCAGCATTAAAATCATTACTATTATTTATCAAACATTTTTGCGCACTGTTTACGACAACTGCATTAATCATAATGATAATAACTACAAGAACTTTAATCATCGACCATTTATACAGAATGCAGCAGTGAAACGGAATACAATAATTGATATCAAATATATTCATATATCTATAATATGTACACAAACTTGCAGAGGACGATAACACCATTATCAAATCAAACAANGATATCGATAGCAGTTATCGACCAAAAACATCACAAGATCTGTTGCCGATTAGCTTCAAGTTCATAGACTCGCTCGATCGGCCTATCTGTTATCTCAGCGAAAGACCACTGAATTCAAGTGTTTTCCTGAACAGTGAACGAGCAAAGATAATCAGTTTCTGATTGATTTGACAAAAAATGCAAAATATCACCAAATTAACACATTCTTTCAGATCTTCTTCAATAACTTTTCATCACCTTCCACCGAAGTTTCAGTCTAAAGCCACAAATCACATTACACTCTCAAACAAAATACGAGCACTCGGCAATCAGCGGGACTAGTAACAAATGAATACAATCGCAAATCAAAACGACAAATATTCGTTGAACATAAATTAAACTTCATCATCATAACGACGATATACATCCTAAAATTAATTCGTTATTTCTTCAGTGGAAATTTGAAGCATACCGAAAATTGTAATAACATTAAAAACCGAATCATATGGCAGCTTCAATACAACCACACAGAACGAAATCACCTGTGCTCTGAGACTTTTAGTGAATCCAATTAACAGCAATTTTTGCAGAATAATACGGTGTTTTGCTCACCTTAACCAATGAATCAGTTTGATGCAGACTGCAAAAAAAGCGACAAGACAGTCAAAACCGCCACAACAACAGGTGATTTCTTCAGTGTGAAATTGCCTATCTCAAACAGACAGAAGTGCTGTGGATAAGCAGGAGTGCTCTTGTGTTTTTCATGAAAATCTACTTTAGCAATGACTTCAAGATGTAATGACAAGCTCTTAATTCCGTAAACGAGCAAAAAGTGGACGATTCCGATAGTTTGGCATCAAGATATCAGCTTGGATATCAGTTAACACTAATATCTAAAAATTAGTCAATTATCACCAGTGTTAAGTGATGCTGTCGTATTTGATCATTATTTTTACGCCAAATTATCGACCGTTTGAAATGGCGAGTAAATTTTACGGTTGGTAAAATAAACAAGCAAGGAGCCCTCCCTCGTATTCTTGGCATAGACTGAACATGCTAATCGCTTTGTCTCATCAATACATCATCAATGGCATTGTTCGGGTGGGTCGTTTCAGAAAGCTGATTGCTCGAAGAACAACTAGACCTTAAATTATCACAATTGTGAATCCAACGGAACAATCGATTGCACTTCTTGGATTCCGTACTAGAGATGAAGCGCGAATCTTACATTGTGATGAACCTCCGAAACAATAGTGGTGGATTATATCTGCTCCCTGACTGACCTACTCAGAAGAGTCTACGGTCCAACGATATCCTCATTATGTGGTGGTTGGTATTTCAGTGCGAAATAATAAGTTGCTAACAATAGAAAATGTTGATTCACTAAGATGGTTAAGAGTATTGATTGCCGAATTGAGATGGTGTGCATTTCGATAGCCGATGCATACTTTTCAGGTAAAATTCTGCAAAACGAAAGCAGGCATTTGCTCAAGAAGCTGCTACCGACAGCTTTCAGTTGAACACGTCCAGAACCGATCACTTTTCGCATGAAAAACTTGGCTATTGACGTATCTCGACAACGAATCAGTGGTACATTGGATGAATCAAATGGAGAACGATTATCGATCAATAACAGCCGCAGCTATCATACAGATTCTAATCCGCTATCTTCATGCGTATCACTCGCCCCTGGAGCACCGTTTGAGGATGAGTTCGGTGAGTGGTGCAACCGACCCATCGTACCAATTATGGTTGTTCGCGAAGTATGACCCGACAACGCATCTCCTCCGATCATTGATGACGTTTCGATCACAGATGGCGGTGGCACAGCGACTAGATCAGACTTATTGCCAACCCAATACGGAATCGGACGATATTTCTGCTCCCATGGTGTTTCGTATCTGTAATGCAGTCACCATGAATATCAAGTATTGCTCCAAACAGTTTAATGATCACTTGAATTGTTAATATCATGAAATGTTGATTCATAGACACAGCCAAAAATATTGTTTATGACAAAAATTGTGGCATAGGGAATGCGCTTCTGAAAGGTACACCTTGTTGGCATGAAGATCGCTTAAGATGCCGCTACGTTATAATCAAACTGATAACAGACTGATGGATGAAAATGATACAAATAAACTCTGAACGATCAGCGAAAGCAATTCGAAAACTGCCGTTGCGTTCATTGAAAAGGCAGAATTTTTGTTACTGCACATTCTTTAAGTTCTCTTTATTTTCAACTGTTGAATCTTGCCGTGAGACGTACTGATTGCATGTCATTTTCCAAAATAATCGGTTAACTTGAGTTCCGAAATCGATTTGCGTAGTAAACAAATCGATAGAAATCACGATAAATTGAATTTAATCGTAAGGTTTAATCGCATTAAATGAGCCATATTCAATTGATCATCACCATTACAAAGCGATATCCTCCTCTCAAATAATGACAACCTTGATCACGATAACGATCAAAGAGGACACCAAACAACTTATATGACTGACATTCTGCACATGAACATGAGTCAATGGTGTAACTATACATGACTAATCAACATAAAACGGAAATTTGCTGTTAATTATTAATGGAGTGATGGAGTCGAAGGATCTTAGTCGTAATTCATTGTAACACGTGAATGTTATCGTTGATTTTGTCTGTGATGTTATCAGTTTGAATTGAGCAAAAACAAGTTATTTGCTTTGCGTTGACTTGATTCACGGAGGTGATGAGGAAAAAGTTAAAAGAGAATTTATGATAAAATGAATGAGCTAGGCGAAGATTGCTGGTGGCGATAAAGGTTTCGGAGCAATTTTTCAATGATTACACACATTTCACTTAAGGTGCGCAATGAGAGTGGCTAGCGTTTTCAACCTATTCAACTCCCGCTTCAAAATTTCAGCCCTTTGAATCGAACCGCCGCCTATGGTCGAATTTCACGAAAAGAGCCTTTTTATTCACTTGAATTCTTTAATCCCTTGAACCCCCCACAATGAGGTAACGGCAATTCATATCTCAACCTTGACTTTTTAAACGATTTAAACGAACCATTTCATTCAGAAAATACATTCGAAAAGGTCATTTAAATTTTGATTTGATTCAATCACGAATCCATCCCATTCATCATCTTCTAAGTACCAGTTCGCTGATTAATGAAAGTAAAAAATGAGGACGTATTCAAGACTGTGAACTAATGGCGTTTCTGATAGTTCCCAAAAGGGAACTTCTGACTGAAAAGAACAGCTACAATTCATCCACTTTCTTCTAGGCATAAACTCGATGCAAATCAAAGCAATAACGATGGGAATTCCCTTGCAAAAGCATTGATGATTTCTCATCGTATGGATCAATGTTGTGTCACATGTGCTTGACGGCTGATCGCTATAAAAACGATGAATGATAGATAGCTCAGCTCATGAAGTATCACTAACTTCGATACAGAAATAAAGTTGACAGTATACGATAATAACTGTTCATAAAAATCCTTCTTCTTGATCAAAACTGGCCACAATTATTGACTTAAATCGACCGAAATCCCATAAAATACGCCGTAAAAACGAAGCGGATGGATGCGTTTTGCATTGAGTGTACACAAGAGATCCATCGTGCATTATTCACTCACCTGCTTTCATCACTATGAAACTGACGATCCACATGAACTTGTTGACACTGTTGATGGTAAGCACCGTATCGTCGCTGTTTATTGCTCAGGGCTGAGGAGCGTTTCTGCCGCAGGAAAGCGACCAGTAAACACATGAATGCCGTTGAACTGATCACAGCAATTGTCGATAGCAGAATCACACCCAAATGCAGCAGATGATCGCGACTCTCAACATCTTGAGACATCTCAGCTGCTGGTTCATTACCCATATACTGAAATGTTGCAAAGCTTTCTTTTTGCATGGTTCGTTCAGTTCACATTCATCATTCAATGTAAGATTGGCAAAAGTGGATCAACCACGAACTCATCTCGTGCTAAATTTTACTAATGCCCAACGTGATCGAACGATAACGATCAGTTAGTTAATCGCGCTCGATATCTCGATATCAGATTGGATAAACGAGTGTCAATGTTAGTTGCATCAATATTAGTCATGCTGGAATAATTTGTTGATGTTCAAATGAAAATACACTTTGACGAATTAGCCACATTGTGCTATACTCTATCAGACAGAAGTTGCAGTCTGAAGATGATGTCGTTAACGACGCTGCTGGTTAGCGCTGGTGGTTGATAAGGTGATGTTGCTATAGATCAGTGCTTCTCATAGGGGTTGGAATCACCCATTTTGGGTAATTTGGAGCAGTCAGGGGGTAACGGAGGGAGTCTGGAAATTGATATTTCTTGCAGTTGTTATTTTATGATAGAACGCTATTGTGATGGTGTTTTTTTAAAACTCGGATATGTAAATGTTGATGGCAACACTCTTCATTCTCCTATTTTCGGAGAATCAGTAGCTTGTCCTGGCCGAACAGGGTGTTCATTCGTTTTAACAGGGTT